CGCAGCAGCTCGCTCCATCTCCACTCCACACGCACGAGTGGGGCCCGGCCGTACGTGCCGGACGGGAGCCCCCCAGCCCAGGCCGGCCGCGCCCGCACCCGTCCGTCGCCCTCGCCCCGTCCTGCCGCGACAAGAGGAGAGAAACCCAACTGGAAAGGGGCAGCCGGGCTGGGGCTGCACACGACGCGTCCCTCTCGCCCGGACCGTGGCCCGCGGGTGATCGAATGCGCGGCCGGGGTGTAGTGTACGCGTGTCCCGTGCGGCGCTAGCCATCGCGCGCAGCCGATCTGGCGGCCGGCCCCCGTGGCCACGTGGGTGGGCGTACTACTAGCTAGACAACTTGTGCGCGTCGCCGTCGCGTGTGCCTTGTCCTTTTGTCCCAGTCGCCCGGCGGCGTCCGTCCAAGGTGCTGCTTGAGGTGTGGAGAGAGCAAGCGACGACACCCGATACGTCGTTCAGATGCTTGTTGGACCTACGTTTAATTTGCCAAGGCCCACGGCAGACGCCCACGTTCGACGGGGATCCGACTGTTGTCCGTCTCCGTCCGCGAATGCATGCATTATCGCACGGTGCGTGTGCGCGCAGCGGGACCCTGGTCACTGTCCGGACGGGGCAGAAAGTATAGAGCGAGTACATAGAGGACGATTATAGTTCAAACTGCAAGGGGGCGGAGCGGAGCGCTCCTATTCCCAAACCTGCGCTCCACTCTTAATTAAATGATGAGGGTCAGGGTCGACCCGAACCTCTTTCCGTGCTGATGTCAATGATCCACGGTGCTCCGTGGTTCAAAGCTGCCAGCAGTATGCGTCTACACACGGGGAGCACAGCATCAGCGTTCCGAAATGCAGAAGCTGCCAAAGGTGAACACCTGAAGCGCTGATCAGTAGAAGCGGGGTCCTTACTACTACCGAATTACTCTCTCCATGCTTCCAAAAAATAACGAAGTAATTAAAAATAGAACAGAACAATAAGTACTACCAAATTACTCTCCAAACAAGTACCACTGAATTAGTTTACTCGAGTACCTAGCAATTAACCAAAAATTAGTACAAGTGCATCCTGGACTATCATGCTACTACAGTCCATGCATATTTTTAGTGGTGTGCCTCCAACATATCACTAGTGCAGAAAAATTACTTAAATTACAGAGCCTTTGGCCCTGTTCGCTTGTCTTATGAGCCGTACTTTTTCAGCGAAGGTGTAGTGTTTTTCTCTCACAACGAATCAGCGAACAGTACTTTTCAGTTCACAGAGATTAGAGCCAGTCCATATGCCTACAAAATAAATTTTGAAGCAGCCTTCTCAAGATTGTAGTGATGACTTCTGAAGGAACGCCTTTCAGCTTTGTCAGGATTGTAAAAGGTTCATCAATCGACCTGAGAATAAAATTTAAACCAGCTAGATTAACTTCTATGTAAAATATGATGGAACTACCTACACCCAACACTGGAATATACTAAGAATGAAACATATGCCTGCAGAATAAAATATGATGGAACTCCCTCAAAGGCTGAAACACAGAAAGAGTTCAAAGTACAGACACATTTTTGGAACTGATTTTCAGCAAGAGTTCAAAGCACCATCATAGAAAGATATGAACTGTAAGATGTATCGGTACTACAGAAGTACATAGAACACATTTTTGGAACTGATTTCAGCAAGAACAATTAAACAATTGGGTGAAAGACAAACCAAATATGTGTATATGTCTGAACTGAAATTATTTTCTCAAATAATCAGTCATAGATTCATATGCCTAGATGGACTATCTCAGCCAAGTTTCCAGAATTCAGTAAAAACAACATATTCTCAAATAATCAGGCATAACATATTTTCTAATATCAAACTGGTGGAATGATTAGGTCTACAATATTTTATTTTGAAAATCCTCAACAACAGTCCATCTTATTGGTTATTGCAGTGTTGCCAATTCATTGAAGATCCTATGGCATCTCTCAATATACAATATTCAGAACAAAAAATTTTGACAGCCTATTTCAAATCCTTTTTATCACTCTAAAACATTAGAAGAAACTCAATGCATGTCATCTTCTACATCCACTATAATTTTCAGGCAGAGAACTATTTAGGAATAGTTGTATGTGAAACTGAAAATGCTCAAGTTCACCTGTATATGCACAATAAAGAAGCGACAGAACAAGTTTCCAAAATTCAACGACCATACATGGAAAGTAAATGCTTGGGAGATAGAGAGTACAAGATATGGAGTTCTACTCAGTTCTCAGTATCATATAAACTAGATCATGATCCATTCTCCCAGATTCCAGTCAATGCAAAATCACAGACTCTTACTACTCCCATCCAAGATCTACAAGAAATATGTTTTTTTTCACATTAAGTAGCTGTGGTAAGTAGCAAATTATCAGACTACTCCCATCCAAGATTCCAATCCTTTTCATGGCTACTAGGAAGGGGCCCATTGGCGACTTTGCACGATATCATTTCTGGTGGCATGGGAAGTATGACCGCATGAAGTGGCGGGATAGCTAGAGAATTGAGGGCAGGGCAATAGTGAGTGGCTTACTACCGTGGTCTAGAATCTTGTGCGGCATCGGTAAGTTGGCGCGCGTGCCCCGTGAAGGTCGTCCGGGAGAGGGTGGCGTCGGCGTGGTGCGCTCGTCGCCGCTCGCGCGCCTTGAGGCGAGGTGGCGCACTTACAAGGTCGCGAGCCAGAAGACGGACTGGCGCCCTTGTTGAATTATTGCAGAAATATTTTGAATTATTGCGAAATAGCCGAAGCGGACACGAAGCGTAAATATTTCTACAAAACAAGGATGGGAACCTAAAAGACAACATTTCGTGTTACATAATAATAAAATATTATTTATCTAACAAATTCCAGTTAGTTACATTATTCTAACTTGTTTTGTAGAAATATTTCATGAAATAAAATTATCTAGAAAACAACAAAACGAATTATCTCAAACACCACACCATTGCAAAGAGCTCGTCGAGGCGATCAAAATTGATATATTATTTGCTATATTTGAAGCTCGAATAAAAAAGATATCAATTTTACAAATTAAAAAGAAGTCGACGTCATCGCTGACGTCAGCACTGCTGATGCCATGCAAAACCGGAAGCGGCCGAGGTCCCGAGAGTTGGAGGCCAATGTTATCCGGTTTTGAAGTTGGAGGTTGAAATCCGGCGTGATAGTTGGAGGTCCTAAAGTGGACTTTACCCAACTGAAAATGCTCAAGTTCACCTGTATATGCACAATAAAGAAGCGACAGAACAAGTTTCCAAAATTCAACGACCATACATGGAAAGTAAATGCTTGGGAGATAAAGAGTACAAGATATGGAGTTCTACTCAGTTCTCAGTATCATATAAACTAGATCATGATCCATTCTCCCAGATTCCAGTCAATGCAAAATCACAGACTCTTACTACTCCCATCCAAGATCTACAAGAAATATTTTTTCACATTAAGGTGTCCAATAGCAAATCACAGACTACTCCCATCCAAGATTCCAATCACATCATCCAAGATTCCAAAGGAAGGAAGGGCCAAGTGGCGTACCCGCAGGGAACTCCCGGCGACGGGAGGAGTAGGAGAGCTCACAATGACGGCCGGGAGGAGGGGGAGCCACGTGGCGCCTTGCATGCTGGGAGAAGGAGCCGCCAAAGGTGGCGCTGGCGGAGGGAGGAGGAGCCATGCCGTGTGGCTACTGGCCAGCCCCGGAGGCCAGGAGCCCATTGACAGGGCGCCATGAGGGGTGGCGGCGTTCTGTGTCCTACGGAGGAGCCCGAGGCGGACAGCGGTTCGACCTTTGGACCCTCTTCCTCATCGGGTCGACCCGCTCCGACCGGACGTCCAAATCAGAGAGCGGATCGCATTTTGGAACTGGTAATTATAGGCGTGTTCGGCTAGGGTTGGGTGGATTGGTCAATGGGCAGACCCCTCACATGGACATTGTTCACATGAACCATGGCTTCTCTCTATTTAGCGAACCGCCCACGATCTGAACCGAATAGCCGAGCAGTGATAATTATCGGCGATCACTGGGCTCTCTAACCGACCCCTCACATGGCTACTATTTACGCGAACGAGGAGCGCGGTTCTCTCTCATCACATAAGCGAGAACGATACGAACCAGCCAACCGAACGGGCTGTATAGTTGAAGCCTTTGTGCCAGGCCGCTTGTCCAAGTATCTTAGCCTTGGGTTACGTTATCAGAATCCAACGCCGGATGATAATGTTTGCTAGGTATTTCAAAAATTACAATCTGTCTCGATGGATCTAATATGCATGCATGCCGGTTTTCAAACAAACAGTAGAATAAACATTGTGTAATTTGCATATACCTAGCTGCATGAGCATGACATTAGGGGTGGATCGATCCACCCACAGAGGAGCGGGCAGTGCTCGAGCTTCCTACCGTCTCTCTCACAATGGAGCCTCCACTTGAGCTCCTCCTCTATTATTGTGAAAGAAGAAGACATAGGAGGAAGAAAAAATGAATAAGGAAGAAAAGAGGAGAAGAAAGAAGAGGAAGATGCAAGGGCCCGTTTAGTTCGCCTGAATTCGGGCGAGGAATCCAGAATTGCACAGTGTTTCGGCCTTCTTGAACTAAACAGGCTTGCAAACTTTGGACCGCCCAAATTCGGCCCATATTTGTGTGGATGTAATACCCCCGCCGACGACCGCCCCCATCCTCTCTCGCTCATCCACACTCCTCAGCCACACTCCCAAACCGTAGCGCCGGCTCCCTCTCCCGCAGCGCCGCTCTCCCTCTCCCCCGCCACTCCTCTCGCCGCCTCCGCTCAAATCCACCGTTCCACCGCCAGATCCACCCCATTGTTGGTCGGATCCACCGCGTCCAGTACCGGATCGACCGTGCTTGACCCCGTCGTCGGCGATGGACGGCTTCAACGGCGAAGGGAACGGCTCGGAGTTCAACGTCGGCGCATCCGGCAACGGCTCTGAGTTCGACGTCGCCGGATACGACAACGTCTCCGACTACTAAGACGCCAACATGAGCAGGTTCAACTCCAGTTATGAGAACAGGACCGCAATGATGCAAAACTGCTGGAAGGAGAGGCAGCAACAGGTTGCGGCTCTTGATGAGGAGAAGAACATCAAGAAACAAGAACAGAAATTGGTTGCGGCTGCAGCAAGAGAGGTTGGGGCGCACAAGATACAAGGGTTGTGGGTTGGTGTGATCAATATCTACAAAGATGACGATGCCAGGAATGTCTTCCTCGAAACACCTGTGGAAGCAAGGCTTGAAGTCATTAAGCACTATGCTGGGGTCGGAAACTAGAACCATCTATCCATGCATTTCACCTATATGTGACTGTCGTTGGCACGATGAACTATGTCTTTTGTGTGTGCAGATCATTAGTCCTATATGAACTATGTCTTTTATGTGCGAGGTTGTGATGATGAACAATGTCATTAAGCCCTTAATTTGCAGCATGGTTGTTAAACTAAGTTCTCAAGCTCATTTTTGTTTTTATATTGATTGCCTGTGTGAGGTCATGGTATGTTTGAATTGAGGTAGCCTTGCATGAGTATAGTGGGTAGCAACCGTTTTTGTACTCACTGTCTGTGTGTTCTATTGCAATGGCCAGGAAGTTGTTGATCAAGTTAATGCTCAAGTGGATGATGACGACGACTGGTGGGAGGAGTTTTGGAAAATGCTGCTAGAAGATGATGATGAAGCAGCATTTATCTATGGTACGTATGACTACGCTATACATCTGGACAAGTATTGCAATAGAGCTGCGTATAGGAAGCCACCATATACTGGTGAGGAATGGGTACAAAACAAGCTTGCCAATGAAACTGCCTGCTACAACATGTTTAGAATGAGTCCCCAAATGTTTTATAGTCTGCATAGTTTGTTGGCCTCACATCCTCAACCAAGTCTACCTCTATTGAGGCTCTAGCAATGTTCCTTTGGATACTTGGGGCTCCACAATCAGTTAGACAAGCAGAGGACAGATTTGAGAGATCACTAGGCACTGTGCACAACCTTGTTTACAAAGTCCTCAGCAGTGTGTTAGACCTATCTGCCGACATCATTAAACCTAGGGACCCAGATTTTACAACAATGCATCCTAGGGTCCAGAATGCTAGGTTCTATCCTGAATTCAAGGGTTGCATAGGGGCAATAGATGGCACTCACATTCCTGTGGTCGTGCCAAGTGATAAGTTTATGCAGCGCATGTGTCGGAAGGGCAAGGCAACCCAGAATGTCATGGCCGTTTGTGACTTTGACATGGTCTTTACTTTTGTCCTTGCTGGCTGGCCTGGATCGGTGCATGACATGAGAGTGTTAGATGATGCACTCACAGAGTACAGAGATTTCTTCCCTAAGGCGCCTAGAGGTGCACACGTTGCTGCTAGTTCAATACTGTTTTCTAATTTAAGCTTGTTAAACTTACAGGTACTTACTGCTGCAGAGAAGTACTACCTGGTGGACTCGGGGTATGCAAACCGCCCCGGGTTTCTGTCTCCTTACCGGCAGACCAAGTATCACATCCAAGACTTTCAAAATGCCCCCAAACCACAAGGTATTAAGGTGATATTCAATTATGCGCATTCATCTCTTAGAAATGTCATCGAAAGGGCGTTTGGAGTGTTGAAGATGAAGTGGCGCATATTGTTTAACATCCCGTCGTATCCACCTGAGACACAGACACATATAATAGTTGCATGCATGGAGTTGCACAACTTCATCAGGATCAATGGTGACTTTGATGGTGACTTTGGTATGCTAGACAGCAATGTAAACTATGCGCCTGTTGAAGCATATGTGGATCAGCCTGAGACAGAGCTTGCTCCAGACAGTCCGGACATGGAAAGCATGAATGCATTCCGAGATAGACTGGCTCATCATTTGTTTAATAGGTCGTGAATAATCTGAGATTGAGAAGATGTATTTGCTTATGTACTATCCAAATGTCTGTAACAATTTTTGCGGATTTGACTATATTTTACTTGAGTTTTTGAATATGCAATAAAGTGTGTAGAGCTTACAGTTGTTCATGCGATTGTGCATGACAACGTACTGGGGGCATGCAAAATTTCCATCATGACAACATGGTTTGTCACACAATACTATGTTGCCTGCTGCATGCACTTCCATCACAGTATCACACACATGCAGATGTTTTAGTCTGATGAGTAGTATATGATGCCCTGGAACACCTCACAGAAGAGAAGACCCAGCATGTGACAAGCCATGCACAACGTACTGCACATTTCCTGACACAGTATGCAGAATTTGGGTAAACAGTAACTCCAAAGTTTGGGGGTGCAGAATTTGGAAACTAAACAAGGGCTTAGACTGCATCCGTCTCTGGACAAGCTAACTCATGTGCTAATACTAAATTGTACTTTCTCTCTCTCTACCTGAATTACTTTCCACTTATTTTCAAGCCGGCCTAGCTCCTTTGCTTTTGAGGTGACAAAGCTGATATATATCTGATCAATCTAGCTGGCGTCAGGAGGTTTTCACCACCTCGGTCTCCAGTAGGACAGGGCCATTACACTGTTGGCTCGATAGCCGAAGACCTTCCACATAGTGGCGGATCCAGAGCCTAGTGACCCTGGTGGGCGTCCGCTCAGGCTCCGGCAACGACATACTCTAAGGTATTCATCGTATCGCTAAGCTTAAAAATATACGGAAAACGTGTTCTTGTCAGTGTCTTGAGCTTTATTCGGGCTCATCGAGTGCCGGGTCCACCACTGCTTCCATGCATGCTTGCATTTCTCGCCATGAAGTGAGAGTGAGCGCTGTTTGGACCAACTACGCCAAAGATTACATGGTATAATTAAGTAGTATTCTCGAAAAAACTGGCAGCGTGTTCAATTAACAAAAGCTAACTCCCCGTTACTATATGTTATTCCCTCCATTCTAATTTGGAACGGAGAGAGTACAAGCCAAGGTTCACGCCTACAACTACAAGTACATATACAGTTGATGCTATATAAGCCTATATACGGTGGCACGGTGCAACATATCATCTGCTAACTTGCTAAGAGTAGCAAATAATTCGACGTCCATGAAAGATGTGAGGTCGAAATCAGGTCATAATAAATTCAAGAAAAAAAAAGAAATTAGGTAAATACTCCCTCCACGCTGCCAGATTGAAATTTGTCACAAGGAAGAGGGGCCATTGGGTTTAATGCATTGCGTGTTGGAGCAAACGCCAGATAAATGCATTGTCTTGTGGCTGATTTTGCAAGAACAGAGAGAGAGGAAAAGGTGAAGCAGGCGCATCTGGCCAGTGTCGTAAATCATTGCGCATTGACATTTTGGCACCAGCCTATTTTGGGAATGTTTTTTTGGACATATCCATGGTCAGGACTTGAGGAATTCAGAACTGGCAACGCCTGAACAGGCCACAAGTCTGAGGGTTTCTTTGATTTTTTTAATCTAAAATTTAGTTTTTTAAAACAGACCGGACGAGAGAGAGCTGCGAGGAACAACTACTACGATGACGACTAGGACAATCAACAAAAACACACACTGCAAGAAGAGTATGTATACACCAACGTACTCTCTTCGTCCCAAAATAAATAATTTTATAAGATTTAAAATTTATATCAAAATAAATAAAGTTCTACACAAACATGGAACACTATCCTAATTAAGGTAGTGTTTGGTTGGTGATGGGTGAGATGATCCCTCTTTTATGCTGTTTGATCTAGATCTAGAGTCAGGGAGGGGTGGGATGATCCCGGTAGGGAATATTCTAGCTAGATTAGTGAGGGGACGGACGTGGGGAGGAAGAAGAGCAGGCAAGCTCCAGCGCCGCGCGGCCGAGCTCCGACCACGCTGGCGAGATCTAGCCGAGTGACGCGGACATGACCTCCAGCCGAGCGGCCGATGAGATCTAGACGAGCAGCGCTCCAGGTAGAACAACGAGTAGCGGCCCGGCTCCAAGCTGCGACCCCAACCCCAGCCTTGAGCTCAAGCCTTGCGACCGAGCAGCCGAGTGGCGACCCCGCCGACGAGCTCCATTCATAGGCCACACGGATGAGCCGGGGCCCACCGACGCGTTGGCGAGGACGCGAGGTCCTGCAGCGGAGGTCGTCGACTGAAAGGTCCTAATATGGCTAGAGATGGTGAATAGCATATAAAAACTCTGTTGAAAAAAAATATGGCGATGTGATCAACACATAGCAAGCCGGAGGATCTGAGTGGAACGAGACCAGAGATTTGCTTGGCTTCAACACAGAACCAGCCGATTCGGAAAACCCAAAGACGTGCCATACAATTTGACCTGCAATTGATAAGGAGAGAAGATCTTATTAGTAATTTAAGGTGGAACATGTCGGCGTTGCACCAGACAGTTCTAAATGTACGGCTAGATAGCCGATTCAATAATCGATATCTCAGCAATAAAGCAATATAAGAAAACATCATCGGCTAAATAGAACATTATTAGTATAAAACGTTGAGCCGATAAGTTTGATGAAGAGAGTATAACATGCGAACAAATCGACTATCTAATATAAATAAAACTACAAACAGTGTGAATCTAATCTATTATCATCAACAGTGAGGTTCGATCGGATCGATGCAGCTATGATAATGATAACAAACTAAAGCCAAAGAATCTATAAAACATCTATATGTTGACAGATTCTTGAAAATATGCTATATGTGTGAGAGTATGCAAATCGGCTAAAATAGCCGATGTAGTCATAACACACAAACAGAGTACATATCTCGATCATGAACAAGACCACTAATCGATAATCTCTAATCTAAAGTCTTACTAGTGAGGTTCGACCGGATCGATGCAGCTATGGTAGTGTCATTAGATTATATCTCATTAACTAGCGAGTTTATTAAAGATTGAAACATGTCTTTGGATGCATACTATGTTTGATTGGAATAGAGATAAAACAGCCGATCTAACGGAATTAAGCCATCGATTTTAAGATTTAAAGCGTGACCAGATCAAAAAACGACCAATTAGGATAATATGATGCCGATCTATCTCTATCTCAATCAGGTAATTTGTTATAATTAATAAAACATTAATTATAACAAGATCGATAACTGGTGAATCAACAAAAAAAAACAGCAAGAAAAATCTTACTAATATTAGCAGATTCGATAATTGGTGATATTATATTAAACAACAAGTTATTTAACACAAGATCGACAATTTTGATCTATATTATGATTCGTAAGAGATCAATCAGCTGATGCAGCCTTACAAACTATGATACAGATTGATAATTAATTTATATTATAGCTTATAAAAGATCAATCAGCTGATGCAGCTTTACAAACACAATACAAGTCGTGACGGTACTCACAAGCAAGCTGGAGGTCGATCAGTCAATGTAGCCATGTTTGTTGAAGAACTCGTCGAGATCTATAGTACTCCTACTCCTAATGCGATGGCGAAAGCCGAAAAGATTGTATTGATTGAGTGTTCGTTTGTTTTGTACAATAATCAAGGTATAATAATTATACCCGGAACCTAAATATGAATCCTAATCAAATACGACTCATTACAATTCTTGAAATAAAAGAAAACTTCTAACTTAATAATAACTTAGACTCTAATTTTCCTTATTTGTAGAGTACAACACATCTTCCTAGCGTCATTTAAGCATAGCCATTGACGTCGTCTGTTGACGTCATCTATAAAAGAAATTAAGAGTCAAAGTCTGCTTTTTATGACCTCTCTTCTAGTCAAATAGAGGCAGTATACTCTGCCAATGCCCAATGCCCAATGCCCCCACCGTTGCTGCCCGAAACTAGCGCCGTAGCGCGGGGTTGCTGGCCCATATAATGGCTTAACTGCCTCAAAAGTGCCCTGCGCCGCGCCGCCGCCCACTTCCCTGGCTTCGTGGCCGTGCCGCCGACCCAAAAACGATGGCGACCTGTAAACCTGACGCCGATGGCATGCCACGAGGTCCTCACGGCAGCAGCCAGGCGTGGCAAGGACATGGATCAAGGACAGGATGATTGCCAGAACCAGCAAGCGCACGCATGGCACATTTCACAACTCAAAACCGATACCAAGTAGTACCATCGGCAGGACAAACGCAAGGTACTTCTTCCACGTTCCGCAAATGAATATGTAACGTGCACGTTATAGTGTTACAGTACACCGACAGGCAATAGGGTCCAAATGTTCTTGTACGTAATCATGGACATTTTTCCAATGAAATGAATCGATATCATGATGATATATGTGAAGCTAACGCAGAGGCCTCCGCGCATTCGCGGGCGAGGTCCCTGTCCTATCAATCATAGGATCGACTGATGAACATACATGGGCAAGCCGACCACTTGCACCCTCTCTGTATATATACCTTGTTTTGATTCTGTACCCATCGGGGTCTGTTCCTTTTACCATCTGATGAAATTGTTTGTATCGAAGAATAATCTTAATGGTCTCCCCTGAACACAAGATGATGGCAAGTGCCATCGCAAGGGTATGGGCAGTCTGTGTACTTCGCGTCTCCCCTCTCGAAGAACCAATCCCCAACAGCGTCAGCGATTTTCTGCAGACCACAAGATATTGAAGACGGCTTATCAGAGACAGATAGACTAGCTTCACAATGAAATGCTTCCATGTAACTGAGGCAGTCGAGATATTTTGTTGTTTGAATTTCTACGTGTGTACCTTGTTACCAAGACGTGGCGAGTTGTTTGCGTACCAAGTATCCTGTCTCTCACTCTGGCAATGAGCAAAACATGAGTTGATGAACAAACCATTTTGCCTTGACGCAGAGAAACCCCTCACGGCGTCGAGCATTTGGTTCCTGAACCCTGCATCATGATTCATGCATAGGAGATCAGATGAACTTGCCTTAATTCAGTTAACAAATTACAACTCGAACGAACTGGGAAACCAATGAAATACCTTGCAAAAATTGAAGCTGGTTGCTATTACAGAAGGCATGGTTCGTCCTACACTTTGACCAAAGACCTTGGGGATCAGCTGTCCTGGGGGCCACACTTTGTTGAAGCTGGAAAATACAGGATCATGAGTTACTTCGATCAACAGTTTTTTTTCTGATTTACACTTTTAATTTCAATTCCAGAGTCCAGACCAATTACAGTGTAGCACTATGCACATAACAAGTACCTGCCACACGTCATAGGCAGTGTTCAAAACAAAAGTTGGGGTTTGAATGGTTGGCAACACATTCTGCGGGAAAAAGCACTGTAGGAAGCATGGAGAAGAAGTTAGGAAAAAAAAAACTTCAACAAGTTTTATCTCTGATAGATATTCCTTGATGTTTGTATTACCGAGGTTTTGTCCATGCGTGAGGTGCAAGACCTAGGCAAGCTTCTTCCAGAACCCTGAATTTTAGGTGAAGGGCAATCAGGACAAAATGAAGTTACTGCTATTGGCACAACAATATTCTGATAGACTAGAGGCATCGCTGGTAGAAGTAGCATTGATAGCAGGAAGAAACTCTTGCAAAAACAAAAATGAAAAGATATGGCTGACAAAGTGGTGCATACCTGCAATCTCACGATGCCATTGAAAAAAGATCTCATTTCCCGACGGCCAGAAACATCAACACTGCAAATGATTAAAGGACCAATTCACACCAATATACAATAGAAGTGACTACAATTTCATCATAGTAGCAAATAATGACTATGATTAAGATAAAGTATCGAAGAAAGTTTCATTTCTTTGTGTGAGCATACGTGTCAAGAAACATTCCAGCATCAGCCAGGCATTTGACTCTCGTATTTGATGGAAACAATCCATGGAATTCATCACAGTGAAGTATGGTAGAAACACCACCAGCAGAGCATCCAGAAAGAAGGGCCTGGTATACGATAAACTGCATCAGGGACATGAAAAAGACTTCCCAAAAGCTAAAGAAAAAATAAAGTAAGAGAAGAGTAGAGGAAATTAAGTATAAAAACCTGATTAGCATAACGCATTCCTTGGGCCATTAGGTCATCCATAGCGGCCTGCCAAATGCGCTGACCTCGGAAATAAAGGCCTGCAGCCTAAAGAAAAAGAAGGAAATCAGATAGTGAATTGTTGTGGTTCAGTAAACAAAACAAAGCAAAGATAGTTTTTTTTTTCTTGCACATAGCAAAGATAGATTTTTGGAGTAGCATCCCTTTGGCGCGCGCATTTAGTTGGTGGTCTGAAACTAGTAAGGAAACAAAATGCCACGAGTTGAGACAGTTTCACTAACCGCATCAGAACCATCACCAGTGAAAGATCCACCATCACAGTACCGGACCTTCGCTCTGTTCCAGTTGTAGAAATCTAAGAGAGAGAAAAATATAATAACAATCACACAACCACAGACAATAACTAAATAATGAACCGAAATATACTATTTTCCTGTGAGCAAAATCACAGTACGAAATCTAAAAACAAAAAGAATCACGAGGCAGATTTGCTGAGAACAATACCGGGATTCTCTTCAGGTCTGTTACTCATTATCCCTGTAAACTGGAGTTGCCTCTCCATGTGATTTGATGATCCCCGACGACTGCCCTTGTGGAACACACAGCTGCTGACATCATTGCACCAGCCTCCACCCTGAATATTGAATACCATTTCAGTCACAAGCAGATGTTAAGCCTAACTGGCACATTGCAACAAATAATAGTGCGAAGTGCCATTTTCATAAGTTTATCTGTGACTCCACGTCTATGTGAAATATGTGGTATTCCTCACCTCAAGATTGACGAGCCAACTGTTTGCTCCTGATCCAAACCCTCTGTGCAGGTGGTAACCTGGTAAGCTTCCATCCAAGCACACTGTAATGGTTATCACAGGAAGTAAGCATCAACTTTTACCAGCACTGCCCTGCTACAAGCTAGATTAAATTTCCAGCACACTGGAATTCTGACCAGAATAGAGCTGATTACTAGTGAACTACTTCAATACAGCTTCTTTTTTTCTTTTGAAAGAATAACCTGCTTTTGTAGAAAGCTTTTGGTACATCACATTTGCTGGGGAATCTAGCTATTACTTTAAAAAATCTACAGAAATTGACACCCAACACTTTGATTAACTTTGGTGTGCATAGATCTTTCAAATTCTGATCTTTTAGTAAGTTCACACAAAATTATTATCTGAAATAGATAAAAAAAAACCACCGCCTTACAGCAAGTTCAAATCTTGAGCAATACAAGCAAATAAACAAATTGTTTTGTATTTACAATAATCAGTTGGCAATCACCTAGACACATACTAAAAGCGTATATAAACCACATACAATTGATGGTATTGAGTTCCTTTTGCCCCAATCAGGTAACAATAATTGATCACGAAAGTTAAAGGAAACAATAATTCATCATGGCAACCACCAACGGTGGCAATGGCATGGTCAGATCCACACCCATACATTTGTCAGGATCAGTGCTAGGACCAAACGAATGACGGATGACCCTGCATGATCACTCAATCAACACGGTACCTACTAAACAAAAAGGGATATCAGAGAGAGAGAGACGAAATGGGAAATCACAATCCAATCCAATCTTTTGTATAGATGCGCTGACCAACCACGGTCAACACTGTCGGAACATGCTTCACACAACTCAACGACCCAACCAAAGAACACACTCTAGAGTCTCGACCCAGTGACTGAACCCAAGAACCCGCGTGGGCGTGGCAGCTAATAAAAAACTAATCTTTGGAACAAAAACATATACTACAGATTAAAGAATGGCACAATTCCGCTGCTGGAACTGGAGCCAGAGGAATTATTACCCGCTCCCTTGGCCGCCGCCGACTGGATGAGGGTGAGGCCGACGAAGACGCCGTTGCTGCCACCGGAGCTGGCGGTGGTGGCGTACACCTGCGTCTCGTTCCGCCAGGGCTCGGAGCCACGCGCCACGCTTGCACCGACCGACAGCGCAAGAACCAGGGCAAGAGCCCAAGAGGAGGAGGCCATGGCTCAATCTGGCTCCCCCTCGCTGCTCCTCAGCCTCCCCCTCCCGGCTCCCCGCTCAATCTGCTCGCAGATGAGCCGTGAGCACGGGGAGGAGTGGATCTAGAAGGGAGAGTGGGAGACGGGGGTGGAGGAGAACTGGAGAAGGTAGGCGAGCGCAGAGGCGGCCAAGGAAGAAAAGAACCTGGTGCAGAGGCAGTGGCAAGCGCGGCTGGCTGGCAATGGAGGTTTCTGTAGCGTAGTAGTGCGGTTCTAGTGCTAGGCTGCTAACGCTAGCTGGGACGTGTAACGCCTAACGCGGCGTGCCGTTGCCTGGTGCGGCGTTACAGGTGTGTGAAGTAAAGCATGTTGCAAAGGAAATGGGAGAACCGGAGAAGTGGAAACGGAATTACAGGGCGGCGGTGGACAATGGTGGAGGAGGAGGAGGAGGAGGAGGAGGAGGAAAACTGAAAAGGGCACGGGAAAACCGTGATTGCATTGCATTATTCACTGCTTTTGGAGAGGAGGGGGAATCCGATCCATACAAGACGAGCTTGGCGGGCCGCCATTGCACTACAGTCTACAGCTACACAGCTGTGTGCTGTGTGCCTGTGTGCTCTGCCTGCTGAGGCTGGTGGTGGTGCCGTTGTGGTGGGTGTCTGGGGCTTCGTTGCGCTGCCAGGTGGCGAGGTGCAGCAGCTTTTTATTGGGAGGCGTTCCGCAGTTAGCTGCCTATCTGGCGTCGGTACGTCGTGAGTCCTGCCGTGCCATGAATGAACTGCGTCCTGTCCAGAGTGATGCAGTGTGCCCACTGTACGTGGTATGCCACGTTGGTATTGTTGAAATTTGGCTGCTGCTCATGTGATTTGCTGCGTAAGAAAAACATCTGAAAAGTATTGTTCGAGCAGTGCAGAAAAAAACAGAAATAGTGTCATGGGTGATTATTACTGATTAGTAAATGGATTCCTGTGTAAACAGGAAACGTAGACTGCAAAACGGTGGGCTGCTGTGCGTATACGCGGAAAAATACAAATAGGAGCCGGTACAAGGTGTCAGTGAGGTCTCTGGTCTCTACAGTCTACAGGCTCACATACCGATGTGCTAGCGCGACCAAAAAGGGCCACTGTCTCCGACCACAGTCGTAAGCCGTATCCCTCTGCCACTGTAGAGAACAGAGACAGAGCATTATAGTAGTAGTAATAACAGCCGCTAACCACACTGTGATGACTAGTTTAATGAGCACACTGATGATGGGCGGGCGTGACCGGGATCATTTGCAGCCGCCACCATGTGGGCCGTGCCGTGAGGTGAGATCGATCGAGCTGTTGGGTTGTGGACTACTGGACCTGTAACCCGTAAACTGCTTTCCGTAAATGGACCACCGGTTCGGTTGGCTTTTGCAAAGTTGCGGGGAGCTAGAAGCGGTACGTTGGCTGCATTCATCCACGTACGTACGTCGCGCGCGCCCCGTCGCTGGACAACGAAACCCGGCCAAACTTTTCATTTCAACCAACCGGCACGTGCTGTGCCGCTGTGGTGGTCTGGGTGATGCGTGTACTCCTACTTGGCTGGATGATTCTCTCGGGGAATCCAGACAGATTGCCACAAAAAAACTAAAAGTCTTCATGAGGATTGAGGAATCTAATCATGACAGCATGCGAGTAACATGGATTATACTAGTACTAGTAATATAGGAGTACTATACGTATGTATGTGCAGGCCGCAGGAAAAGCAAAGCTGACTGGGGTCAACATGGCCATCAAGCAGAAAGAGCGCCCTGCCTTGCCTAGCCTAGCACTAGTCCGTGATGGTGATGGATGTCGATCGATGAAAACAAGATGAGAAATAGGCTATAGGCGCTAGGAACTGCTGAATGGCCCGTGATTGCAGGGCGTCGAGGCAGTGTCAACTGGCAATTGCAAAAACCGCGGCGGCGGCGCCCCGCGGCTGTGTACAGGTTGCTCGTACTCGTACGCATGGCATGGAGAAATAGCGGCGTAATTTGGCTGTCCGCTGAACCTGTGGCGGGATCGATTTGGTTCGGCGGCAGATGCAGTGCATGGTGACCTGGTACGGTGGGCAGCAGCGCAGACTGCAGACTGCAGTGGCGGGTGGAACAAGTTGGGCGCCGACGGGACACGACCATCAGTAATGGGGGCACCGTCCCACCGGCGGCGGTAGGGATGGGATTGATGGAAGCTGCTTTGCCGGCAATGCGTCTGATTTCGGGAGGAGACATTCGCCCGGGCCACCGCCGGCGTCACTTTGCCCTGGTCGTTTAGCAGAAATTTGGCTTACGTTGTTACTTATGCTGATTCGTTGTGTGCGAACATTTATGTATGCCTTTGTAGTTCGGATGTGTGACGAGTTAGCGCACTGTGTTTCGCATAGGTTCTCCTTTTTTTTCTTTCCAATATCGATGCATGTTAGTAGTAGGTGACATACGCAGAATAATTTGCAGCGTACTACTACAGTACGGGTACTAGCTAGTAGAGTTACAGCATACTAGTACATTACACCGGTCAGTCGCAGAGAGGTACGGCACCATCACCGAATAGCACACGCGCCTCGCGCCGTAGGCCGTAGCAGGTACGTCCGGTGCAGCACCAGAATCCACCGAGAGTAGCATGCGATGCGCCGCGTGCCCGCGTTGGTCCATCGTCCATGGGCACATGCAGATGGAGCTACGGATCAAGCGCACGCACGCATAAAAAACAAGGTGGCCGGTAGCCGGCGTGTGTGCCTGCTGTGCTGCCTGCCCTTGGATCGCGGCGATGCCCACTGCAGTACAGTAGCAGAGCAGCCCGAGCTCCCAAAATCTTGGTCAAAGTTAGGCATGCTCCGCAGCTCATCTGTCCACCACCACCAGCTGATGCAACAATCGGTTTGTTCGCTGGTTAGTTTCAGTCGGGGGCTTATCAGCCATGGTATAATATTTTTCTCTTACAACAAATCAATCGTACCAACCAGCACGAGCGGCTTATCGAACCAGCGAACAGGTGAATAACCACTCTACTAGCTATAGGACAATTACTATAGTACTCCTACCACAATGCGCTAACTAGTAACTGTTGGTTTGATCTCCCAACCACAGTGGCCCAACGGCCACTTGGGCCTTGACCTCGCGCCCTGATCGGGGGCGCCCAGTCCATCTATGGCTGGCGGGCCCCATCGCTCACATCACAAGCATTAAATAGAGGTGGGGTCGACGACTCTCTCAGACGAGTTTCGTGAGCCGTCGCCCACCTAAAACCCTACTCCGATCTAACAGGAGGCGCAGCCAATGGTGAGGGAAGCACCCGCCGCCATCGCGCTGCGCCACCACGGTCTTCACTGCGTCGCTCTCTTCACCGATCGCCGCCTTAGCGCAGAACTTCACCGATGAAACGATGGCGGATCCCCTACTCAATGGATGGTGATTACCTAACCCTAGCTCTTCCTCTCCCTCTCTGTCTCTCTCTGTTCACACCATTACTACGAGAAACCCAATGAAACCCCACTGGATCCACTCCTAGATGGTCCCAAAGGATCTAACAATGGTATCAAAGCCAGGTTTAGTATGGCCGTATGTGGATCTAGATCGGGGCAAAGAAAAGAACAGAACGGAGCTAGATCCGATTTGGATCGAAAGAAAGAAATACAGAGGGTTCATCGAACCCTAAACCCTATTCGGGTGATAGAAAGAAAAAGAAGGAAGGGGATTAGAATTTGATTCGTATTATCCTCCAAGAACCCTAACCGTAAAAAGAAATGGATGGTCCGGGAAGGTTTTTCCTACATGCCGTCACTACCGCCTCACTGGGATGGTTCACCTGGCCACGGCTTGCGGCGCCAGCTGGAAGAGAATCAAGAGAAAAGAAGGAAAAGAACGGATTAGATCCTTCGGATCTCGAAAGCGCATGTAAAGAAAGGGTTCTTTAACCCTAACCCTAAGCGGGTGAAGATGGAAACAGAGGGCTCGGATTCAAGAGAACGATGAGATCCGAACCCTAACCCGCCTCTGACTCGGGAAGAAGAAGAAAAGGGTGAATCCCTCAACCCTAACTCGATCCCCATCCCAATCGGTCAAAACCGAGAAGAGCAAGCAAGATCCAAACAAGCGTAAAGCGGGAAAGGGAAAAGCAAGGCCGGTGGCTTACCTCATCGCCAGCGCCATCTCCGCCGTCGCTGGGAAAGACCGGACCAGCGGTGGTGTTCGTCACCGAGGTGCATCAGCGCTGCAATGCGGATGCAGGCTAACACGGAGCCGCTTGGCGGCGCGCTCTCTCCGACGGGGGAGCGGCCGCAAGCAAGAAGGGTTCATGATGGCGCCGTCTTCGCTCTCCTCCGTGGCGGCTCATTGTCGCTCGTGTCTGCAAGGCCTTCTTGAGAGAGAGAGGCGCGAGAGAAGGGAGAAAGAAATGAGGCTAGGGTTCAGAGGAGGAGGTGACGCGTGGGTTTTGATCAGCGAAGCAAGCGGACGGCCGTCGGATTTGATCCGACGGCGTGGAATGACCGAACTCGGTGCCCAAAGGGATGCCACTTTCCCGCCCAGCCCGAGTGGCGCGCGAGTGCTGGTAGTCTTGCATGAATCTCTTGGGCGGACAAGCGATCAGGCCTTCGGGCCAAGCAGGCCTCCGGGCCAAATGAACAAGAAGGAGAGTTTTCGGTTTATCATTTTTTTTATTTTCGAAGCTATTTTGAATGAATAAAGTTAAGTTTAAATGTTTTATCTCTACTCAAATTTGATCCAACGTGATAATTTGTTTAGAGATGAGTGATAAAATGCTTTCGAAAAGTAGGAAAAGAAATTTTGTCAAGTTTCATTTGCAAAGTTGAAGGTTTATTGTCTTCTAATTTGAAGAGTAGTTATAGTTATTCAAAATGATGAAAAGTTTATCCTCCGATTAAAATTAGAATCAATTTGGAAAATTTTAATTGGAGGAATAGTCGGTTGATAGTTAAGATAAATTATAATATTGTTATTTTCTGACAATATTATAAGTTTATTTATGAGTTTAAGGTTAAAGTTGAATTATGATATT